AGAGGCCCCTGTATTCCAGAGACACTGTGGATATGTATGCAGGGTGAGAGGTGGGGTCAGGTCAGTACATGTTAAAGACAGAATTAATATGCGTCTCATTTAAAGCTGAGTGTATGCAGCCATGACTCAGCAGGTAAAGACACTTATCACCAAGCCTGATGACCTGGGTTCTGTCCCCAGTTTTCCACATAGGAGAAGAGAACTAATGACTGCACAAGTTGCCCTTTGGCCTCTACAGGCACATCCTGGCACCCATGCTCACACATACACACAAAATGAATGTAATTTAGTTTTCTAATGAAGCTGGGCTGGGCATGATGGTTCATGCTGTAATCCCAATATTTATGGAGGTTGAGCCATGAAGATTTTGAATTTGAGACCTGTCTGGATTATGTAGTGAAATTTTGTCACAAAGTGAGAACATGTTTGCTCGGGCTGGAGAGATGGCTCAGGTTAAGAGCACTGCTGTTCTTCCAGGGGTCCGGAGTAAAATTCCCAGCACCCACATGGTGGCTCACAGCCATCTATAATGAGATCTGGTGCCCTCTTCTGGCCTGCAGACAGAACAGTGTATACTAAATAAATAAATGTTATGTTTGCTGAAAATCCCCATGGAGCTGGAGAGGGAAGGAGAGCCGCTCACTGGGCTGCACCTCGCAGAACAGCAGCGCTGAAGCTTCCCGATGTGGTGGAGCAGGCTGGGTTTTGTGGAGGTGAAGGTTCCAGATAGGCAAGAAGCCCCAGGCAGTGAGTAGCTGCTGGTGGAAGCACTTCACTCCATAGAGGTCAGCAAGAGGACTTGAGTACATGAAGGTCCCACAGTGGGGAAGAGGAATGGGCTTGGAGGTCTCCAAAGTGGCCCGTGGCCACCAGAGTGAGGAAGTATCAAAGAGGAAGGACTCAGTTGCCACATCCTGTGAAATTGATGAGCCAAAAACAATGTCTGAGCAATGACCACAGGTTTGGGCAACAGGAAAGGGAATCGCTCATCACCATCACTGTTCATTGCAGAACCAACTGAGAAAAAGAAGATGGTGTTTTTATTCTGTGTGGGAGGTAAAAGGACAGTCTGAAGGGGTCCATTCTCTCCTCCTACCACATGGGTCACAGGCATCAAATTCTAGGTTTTCAGGTTTGGTAGCAAGTGCCTTAACCCACTGAGCCATCCTGCTGGCCCTAGTCACTGTTAATAGTAATCAAACTGCTATTAGTAGATGCAAATTAGGTGGGGGCAAATACAGTTCATCTGAATCTGAGTCTCAGGGGCTGAGGAGTTGAGGGTTTGGAACAGCTCTCTGTTTTGTTTTTGAAACAGGGTCTCCTGTAGCCCAGGCTGACCTTGAGCTTGCTGTGTAGCTGACGTTGGCCTTGAACTCCAAATCTTCACCTCTCAAGTGCCAAGACTCCGGCCTGCACTACCTGGCCCACTCTGTATGGTATGGAGCCAAACCCAGGGCTGTGTAAATTCGGTAAACAATCTCACCAGCTGAGTGAGCTATGCCCTGTGCCCTTACTTCTGGAACTTGGAGGATCCTGTTAAAGTATAGATGAGGGTGTGCAGTGTGTGCATTGTGTTAGTTGTTTTTGTGTTTGTTTTGTTTTGAGACAGGGTTTCTCTGTGGCTTTAGAGGCTGTCCTGGAAGTCACTCTGTAGATCAGGCTGGTCCTGAATTCACAGAGTTTGCCTGCCTCTGCCTCCCGAGTGCTGGGATTAAAGACGTGCGCCACCACAGTTGGGCCTAGTTTGGTTATTTTTTGTACCACGTGCATGCCTGGTGCCTGAAAAGGGCAACAGATCCCCTGGAACTGGAGTTGTGAGCATCCTTGTGGGTTCTAGAATCTTCCCCAGTCCTCTGGAAGAGCAGTAAGTGCTTTTACCACTGTGCCATCTCTCCAGCCCAAAGATGGCCTTGAACTTCTGATCCTCCTTCATCTGCCTTCTGAGTGCTGGGATTACCCTTTTGTGCTACCATGACTGGCTTTATGTGGTGCTGGGAAATGAACAGTGCTCCTAATCGCTGGGTCATCTCCCCAGCTCCCTGGCCTACAAGTCCCTATCTTCCAGCCTCCGTTTCCTAAGTACGGAGATTGCAGGTGTATGCCACCATGCTCAGCTTTATTGACAATTCCTGTAGAGATTCTTATTGCAAAGGGGAGAAAGGAAATGGTGTAATAGAAGGGGATGATAATGGAGCCTTGAGGGAAGAGCTGATTTTCAAATGGAGGCCTGCCTGTGTGCACCAGGTGTAATGTCAGACGGTGCATCCCCTAAACTGCCAGACTTCAGTTTGAACTGAATAATCATCTTTGAGTTTGTTTTTATAAAGGCGTTTACCAAGCTGGGGCTCACCCTTAATCCCAGCACTCAGGAAGCAGAGGCAGGTGGAGCTCCGTGAGTTTGAGGTCAGCCTGGTGAGCTGACCTGGTGAGTTCCAGGACAGCCAGGGCTACACAGGGAAACCCTATCTCAAAAAACAAAACAAAAGTGATCACTTCACTT